TTTTTTCATGTGCTCTGCTCTTTGATCAAGGCAATAAGGAAGAACAATCAGTGCCCACCAAAAGTGGCAGACGATGCCTTTGAGAGAATCAAAGATAATCAACACCTATAACAGAGATAGTTGAAGACACTCTAGCCAGCATAAGCTTCAACAGCCGACTTTCTTAGAGCTAACAGTACGCCAAAGTGAAGAGGTATATCACGTGCAACTGTCAACAGAACGCTTCCCTTACACCGAACCGTTAGCGTCAGATGTCCGCTGCCAGTCTAGGAGCAGATCATCAGATCTCTGCTGGCAGTCTATAATCCACTGGTAATGGAACTGTTTTGAGGCCCGGAATCACACCAGCAGTTTTGGGGGTAAGACGTGATAAGGAAACAATTAACATGGTACGCTCACTTACACAAGAGAATAAATACAATTATACTATACAGATTTACCTGCATTTTATAGTAAATAAACAGTCAAGCAAGTAGATCCTTGCAGCCCTTGAAGTCTTCAGTGATCTGCAGGTCAGTGAGCTGTAGATCAGGCTGGGAAAACTTTCAACATTAATTCACTATCTCTTACACCCTATATCTGGGCTGCTTTAAACACCTGCGTTCTTGATTATGGATCGTGGGACAATGATCTCCAGGCAAGCACGAACAAGCAACATCAAGGATTACACGTAACATGATCAGAGGCAAATGATTCCCCAGCACAAGGCTGTTCTGCCAGTCTTTTTGGACGCTGGCATCTCAGCAAGTACAGGTAGCAATACCCAGCGAAAAACCTCAGAGCAGTCTATGTCCATTTACTGATGGAACATCATCTCTTCCGACCGGAGGGCTGCTACCTGAATCAGAACTAGGCAACAGATTGGGCACTGCAGCATGCTAACCACCACGTGTGCTGCTTCAAGCTAACCATGGATGGCTCTACAGACCAGCCCAGATAAAGGTTAAAAGGACCTTTTGTCAAGATTAAATGCATCTTAAGATACACTGAAGATGCAGCTAATGAAACTTCTCCCTCCAAAGCAGAAACCTGTGCTTGAGTGGAAGCCATAATTTTGGCTAGATACTTAGAAAAACAAAAACCAAACCAAAATTCGCAGCTGTTTCAATGACATTTCCCATGAAAGCTCAAGCACCTAAATAAAAGAAATACCAATTAAGTTTGGAAGAATTTTACATAAACCACAATCTCTATGTTACAATGGGGAGAAGTGATTTCATTAACATTTTTTCCATTTTTTTCAGTAAAGGCCTAAGGGAAGAATCAATGTTCAAAGTTTTTTATTTTGCTTTGACTTTTTAAGCCCAGCAGCTAGTAAGCTATTGTTTCTTACTTTTGTTGAGGTAAAATGTAAACTGAAAAGAACAAAAACATAAAAGAAAGGGAAAAAATTGAATCCAGAAAATGAAAGCAATGATAACTTCAATTCTGAAATGACAGCTGAGAAGGTAAATGATAAAATACAGTTTCTCATAATGACTAAACAAAAATAGCTCAGCGCCTCAGATGGAATTTAAGCAATGAAATCTCAGCTGTAAACCAAAAAGAAATAAGATTCAAGATTCAAACAGAGCAAGTAAAAGTACAAAATCTGACTTCTAATTTGCTGTCATTGAGTCTCAGATATTGACAGAGATTATCAACAGTCAAAAAACAAACTTTGTTTCATTTAATGATAAATGTTTATCCTTAGCAGATTGGAAGATGACATATTTCTGCTGTTTCTCACTCTAAAACATACTATCACATGACATATGCCATCTCCTTCTGATGGAGAATCAACATGGGAATGCACAGGAGTAGAGGAGCTGTGTTACTGATCAATAAAGCTACGAGTACAGAATAAACAGCAAGAGATAAGAAGCACTTAAACCCGACAACACATAACTAAAGTAACAAAAAAAACAAAGATTTGAATAGCCTTTTGACAGGTCTTGCAATAAAACATTTCTGAAAGAAATTTAAATATTACAGTATTTTCCCCCAACTCGGTAAAGCTTTTTGGCACCCTAATTAAAAGCAGTCACATCTTTAACGACATCAGCAAATCACTTCAAATGAAGTTTCCACTGACTTCGCTGCTGATCAGTGTGATGAACAGGCAAGGAACGAAGCCACCGCGTACAATACGAGCTGAAGCACTTGGCTGAATCAGAGCCACTATAAATAGCATTTGCTGCTGTAAGACTTGTGAAGCTATACACAGCTGAACAACGCAGAAACTCTACCTTTGAATTAGCACCTCAATCTATTTTTAAAGATTTCAGATTAAATACTTTCCTCATATAGTAAATTCCTGAGAACAGCTTGACAAGGCAGAGGTGGGATAACCTTGTCTTACACAAAACACAGCTGGGAAACCTACCACAAAAAGCCAGCCTACCTACAAGAGAGTTTCAAATAAAAGCATCATGTTTTATTTTAAGCTTTCACGGAAGGTGCGCAGCTTCACACCCGAGCTGCTCTGTGACTGTGGGGAAGCAACTGCAGTGCTTCAAAGAGCGGTCGTGCCGCCCATTTACAAGTATATACAGACAGAGTACCAAGGACTTTTCTGACACTCAGTGAAAATGACTATGCACGTAAATAATAAATGAAACTGAGTATTTTAACCTCTATAATGAATTACCTTGAAAACTATCTAAAGTAGATGCTGTGGTACTCCCAGGTTGATAAAGAGAGGTTGCTTATTAAACCGTGAAAACCTTACAAATGCCTAAGAATGTGCCGTAGTAGGGATGAAACTCTGAACATCGTTAATAAGGTTCCTGGGAATTTGCAAACAAGTGTTTGGATACTGTGTTCTGGCTTCGCAGGGAGCATGAGATTTACTTCACTAGAGCAGTTCCTAAAAGAACAAAATGATGCCTATTACGGTACACTTCCAAACAGCAAAACGCTTGGCAAAGCTGCTTACCAACAAAGCCACGCAATTTTAGGTCTCTTCTAAAAGCTGGGCACAATCTACTCATTTCAAAAAAAATCCGTTTGAGACAATCTTCTTTGTCTCATTTTTAAACTTTTTTTACAATATCTATTTTAGTGTTCCGTTATCTTTGCCTAACCTAAAATTCCCTTGCTATATGTGAAGGTCATTATTTACTGTATTACCTGCTGTGAAAAACAGGTACCTACCCACCCGGCAGTGCCATTCATGTAATCAAAAACTTCAGTCCTCTGTCAGTCCTCTCTTTGGCTTCAGCAAGACGAAGAGTTTCTTTAAACGTATGCTTTAGTATAGATCACCTTTTACCACTCCTCTTGGTCTAGACTTTCTCCAACTTGTCCACTTTTCTTCATGCTTCTCCAAGTTCAAGTCCCAAACTAGATACGGTAACTTTTCTTGAAGCTTTACCTCTTTTTTTTCACAGGAACAAAAGAAACGCATCATGTCTTGGAAGCTGTGTTGCTGTCCACACATCCTTTGACATTTTTTTAATGGTATGATACTGGTAACTCACTTCCTTCCTTTGGAAACGATATATGCTGCCAACATCTCCTACACTTACTCTCCCTTCTTGCCTGTCTTTGGGTTTTATTTCTGAAGTCTGTCATGAAAAAGGTCCTAGGACCAGCAGCAATCTCTTGGATCAATTGAGTTCACTCTCAACTACTGTTAGTAGTAATACTACATAATTGCACTGAAATAATTTCAGAATTTAAACCAAACAAAATGCTTGCTCCCACTACACACACTGGCTTTCAATAATCTTGCCACTTGGTAGTTGGTAGCCGATTATTACAAGGGGATTTTTAATAAAAGCATATTCCTGTCCAATTTGTAACAATTTTTTCTTCCACTAACTTCATCCTTCATCTGAAAGAGTATTTCCTCCTCCTTGGTATTTACACCTCAGCAGTACTTCTGTACTTAAACAATGTCCACTCTCAGTCCTCTTTCCTCCCAACAAACCCAAGCTTGTTTATTCATGTTTTGAATGACAGCTATTCAGGGGCCACCTCTGGAACTGCCAGAGTTTGAACACATCCCAAATATTTAAAGATTGTAGAGTATTTAACTGCTAGCATAGGTGAACTTATATTAATAAAAAATTCTTCATTGAGGATTGCCAAAATCATTAACTTACAAAATTCATTTTTTCAAAAGCTGCTTTGCTTAAGCAGTATGTAAAGCAATATAAAATTAATAAAACCATACTGAATAGGAAATGTGTATTTAGCAGCAAATAAAAACAATTTTACCAAAACAAAAAATTAATAAAATTGATTGGACTCAGTTGCTGACGAAATTTAGGCAATCAGATTTTAGTAATGATGGCATTTGACCACCTTCATGTGTTGCCATGATTTTTAAAACACACTACGATATCTGAAACTACTTTGTGTCGTTACAAGGGAAAGCAAGCATCACAGGGGAGAATTATTACAACTTCTTCCTCACATCCAAAGACAATCATTTACACACGCATTTTGGGTCAGATTCTGTTAGACAAACACAAGACAATGTAATGCACAGCACATCACAACAGCAAAGAGATGTACAAAGAAGTCATCGAATTTTACAGTAAACAGGAGATATCCTGTCCCTGGTAAAATAAACCATCATGAAAAATGTTTGAACCTCGGAAATTGTCCAACGCACATGGATTGCTTCAATCATAGTCTGCAGTTAAAGAAGGCTAAACCCAGCGACAGGACAAGGGGCAACGGGCACAAACTGAAGCACAGGAAGT